TATATATGCGCGTGTTTGTGTGCGCGTGTGCGTAAGTGTGTACGCCAAGTCGGTCGTGTCATTCCTTTCTTTCTCCGTCCTTTCACATCACTCTCTCTCTCTCTCTCTCTCTTGTTTTCCACCCCACATCTATCCATAACTTTCTTCCTTATCCGTTCGGCCTTTTTTCTTCTCCCACCGGATTCACCCCCTCATTCTACCCTCCTGCCGCTCGGTTGCCGCTCACTCTCTTTCTCTCTTTATCTCTTTCACCCCCTCTGTCTCTGTCTATTCCTCGTATTTTGTTTCTCTTTCTTGTATTCTCTCTCCCCGTTGACAGCCGTCATTCTACCGGACACCGCGCCGCTACACACACACACAGCAATAGTCCCTCTCGCGATCAATACCCACACACCGCTGCCCGCTCCTCCTACATGTATATTGTATGTACCTACATATATAAAACCATTGTCATTGTTATTCAGTGCGTATAATATATATATATTATATTATGTATTGTACGCATATGGCATATATATATATGTATATTATATACATATACGAATATTTATATATTATGCAAGTAGTCGTATATAGTATATTGCTTGCATAAATAATTGATCGAATAATACCGGTTGCAGGTACCTGCAGGCCCACCCCTAACCTCTTTAAAAGCCCATGCAGCAGACGGCGTGCAAAGTCGCGTCGTGTATTGTACGGACAATCTCGATGAGCAATGAATAGTTGCATCAATGTTATTGGACAACAATACCTAAAATATTATTTAATCGCCTCAAGTATACGGAATCGGCCTTGACCTTAACCCTGTGGTTAAGGTTTCGTAATAAGCAGATACGCGGCGTATTGGTACGAAAATGTTTTTTGATCATTCGACAAATCTTAATACGTGATAAACCACCAAAATTTACTGCTTATTTCTATGCTACGTCAATAGAAAAACCCACCCCGTAAGTATATTTATAACTAGCCTATTGGCTACCTTTTGTCGAATATATTCACTGGGGGGATTGTCACATTTAACAGAACGTGACAAACTCAATTGTTGTGACATAATAATATTTTGCGATGTAGGTACCCACCTACGTACATCATTCGTCAATTTATACCCATCAACTCGCATGCATTTAATCATCGTGTAAAAGTACATAACGTGCATCGCGCATGACAACGTAATAATAAGAAATGTATTATTGGATCACAACATATTTTGCCGTTTGTTCGTACGCCCTTTCATATGTATTCAAAATAGCTATAAATATAATAAGTTAATATAATTGTATTCGTTATTACTCATTTGACATTTCTCATAATCATTAAAATATATGTTGTCCAGCGGAGATCCAATTTTCTACCATAAACCAATCTCAAAAATTGAGAAACTAAATATTTTTTTTGCACATAACAAAACATGTACATCACTGTTAAATCAATACATTCATCGGAGCTCTACTTAGAATCTAAAAGCACAATTTTAATTTTGCTTCTAGAAATTCGTAATTCATCTCATTCATACTCACCACAAATTTTCCTAAGCCAATTATTATGTTCTTAAGACTTAATCCAATGATAGTAATTTGTTTAATTTTCTCATATAGTCTCAACTTTATACATCTATACATTATTTAATTTAGTTATAAGATATACACTATTGGTAAAAATTTTAATTAGTAAAAAATGTACCATCGCAAAATTAATTTTTACAGTTTGTCGTTTAAATTTTAATAAAATCGTTGTTTAAAAAAAAATATTATACTCTCTTAAATTAATAACCAATAACATTGTCAAATCGTAAAAACAAATTTTCTTCGGTGATTTTTCTCGTTTTGTCAGGTATAAGGTAAAACGAAAATTGGTTTGATCGTTTCATAGATTACGTTGTTGTTTGTACACACATGTTGTAATACCACTCGAGTGAGTGTACTCTAAAGGGATTTGTGAAAGTATCTACTGTGCCTACTTCTATTAGCTACATTTACCTACAACTATTACATTAAATTTATTGATCGCTTTTTAACATCAATGCCTGTTGAACTGTGGTTTTCCGAATTCTTTAGTACTACCTACTCCGTTCACTTAAATAAACTCGTCCACAAAATTTGTTTTTCTTAGTACTGGTTACCTACCTTTCTATACAAATTTAATTTAGAAAAAGATAGACATTGCATATTTGACGGAAAAATTGAAAGCATAATATATTCTTTGCTTTTCCAAAATTCAAAAACATACATGATTAGCCCTAATATCGTATTATTTTATCAATTACAAAAAAAATATAACGACTTATTAGAAAATGTTCTTTTTATGTTAATATTATATTATTATATTTCGTTACCGTCAAATGTGATGACGATAACTGAAGTCCATAATCCGTGACAACAATATAACATAATAATACACGATAAATTGATGTAGGTACAGCGAATTTGAACAACATTGAATTAACGTTGCGTTGAATTGACGTGACGCCAACGTTTTGATCAACTTATTAATTATCTTATTATACATAGATTATATATATATATAGTATATGTATATAAATGCAATGTATATAATTATAAACCTTAAGATATTATGTTTAAATACAAACAGCAAATAGCTAGTTAAAAAAAAAAATATATAAAAAAATAACGCAACTTAAGTAAAAATATTTCTTTAATAATTTTAATAATTCTTGTGAGCGATTCGACTCGAATCATAATAACTTAAATCGTATAAGACGCGTGTAAAATAAAATAATATGAAAAATTAGACACGATTTTTAAACTGTTTGTATACTTGATAGTGGGCAGTTAGTTTACAGTATTTTATTAGAAAACTCCCGTGTCTCAATAACGTCTAAAATGGAAATAGTTTTTAAAGTGCGTCGATACAGAGAACAAAAATTAAGGCAAAACAAATCTCAGAAAAGCAATTTGATAAAATAAGAAAAGCACATGACGGCAGGCCTCTTGGATTACAAACGTTTGAAGACAGATAAAAGTATAAAACCTACACACCATGTATTCAATAATGAAAATAAAAAAATAATACAACAGGAAATATACTATATCTAGTAGGGAGGACGGAAACCCGAAATTAAATTCTTCGTCGAATTCTTGTTTGTTTCGGGGGCGAACAACACGCAAAATACTCGGCAAATAGGCCAAATTATTCTTCTATATTTGTCGAAGGGAGTTGTGTCTATGTGTACATGTGTGGGTTTTATCTCTTAGAATAACGACTAATTGAATCCCGCTCAACGCGTAGAAGAGAGCAGGCCGCACGCATGTGAATAACGGGATGAAACACAATCTGTGTAGTAGTATACTAAGGAGAAATACGCGTAAATCAAAATATAATTAATGGATGACGATGGAAATGTAATCGTAAATTCGTAAACGACTATAAGTGTGTCGGAAAATTCCACAATAACCAATGCCCGAGAAAATAATTATTTTCATTTTGCTCATATTATCATATTGTATAATATTTCTAATACATTTGTGTATTGCATATTATTACATTTTAACTTCTATTATAAAATTGTATGGCATCGATGACGATTAAAATACTACACATTAGAAGTAAAAAATAATAATATATTAACCTTAAACTGCTATTCGTATTGTCACTCGTACGAATAGTATTATAGTACCTATACTGAACAGATTAAATAACTTAAAATTCTGATATAATCTATATTGTACAAGTAAGAGAAAAAATTAGTTTTTTTTACAAAATAAATAAAGAATAAACACATACTTTATGTTATAAATTCCATACAAGGTTTTATGAGTAAAACAATACATAAATATACCAAAATGAATATTACTCACACACACGCATTACTAATTACTTCCGCGGATTAATAAGAATGAAAATGATGAAATACTTATAGTATCACTGTATTAGCTATTTCGAATAAAATAATTTGATTACATCGTTTTGATAATAATTGTAGGTATTTGCGCAACAAATACTTTTTACTGTAATATTTTTTATTGAATTATTTTTCGATTAAGTTTAAACGGAGCAGAATTAATCCAAGACTATTAAATAATTGCATTTCAACAGTAAAACGAATTAACTACGTTTAATTATAATTAATCAATGAAGAATACTAAATTATCCGGATACCCCACAACAAAATAGCTACCTATGGTATATTATTAAAATTTAATAAGCTTCGACAAGCAATAAAAGTTATCGTGAAAAATATTTTTCTCGCTCTTTAAGAACGTTTATTTATTTATTTTTCCATTTATGAAAACCATTTATCTTATGAAAAAAAAAAACTACCCCCGAGTGTAACAGAAAATCGTTTTCGGATCATACACTCGAAAACTGTGGCTTTTGACAGATTATCATACACGTGAAAATCGTTGACAATAGTACCCCGGTAAAAAATGGAGGGTTAAACTTGAATGGATAATTTTGTGGAATAATCGAAAGCTAAGGAACTTATGTGGAGGTACAGAGGAAAAAAGCACGGCTTACTTAACCTTTGTGACCGCTATGCATGCCAAGGGAGAAATTTCTATTGATAAAAACCCGACCCCGACTGGTGGCCGAACGAGAAGGGATCGCCCATTCTAATTCGTATTTTTTTTTTATTTTTTTATACATGTATAAAAATAACCGAATAGGGGGCATCATTTTTTCGAGGGGCTGAATCCCGATAACTGCAAAGGGAAACAACTGGAGGGACAAGCCCATCCCGACAATATATTTTTTATCAGCTATTGTTGTTTTGTTGCCTTGGAGGAGCCATCCAAACCATTAGGCCGAATTGAGAAAATATTTATATATATATATATATATATTTATTTATTATACGCTTTTCTACGTTCTTATTTTTTTCTTGTTTTTGCCCTCGTTTTTATATCGCTGACCGTATCTACCATGTAATTGAATTATATTCGGCAACTGTAGTGTTGCTCCTTGTCAAAGGGTGGGTTGTTGTCTTTATTTTTCTTTGCTTTTGAAATTCAGTAATATTAAATCAATCATAATATTATTACCGTTTTCTCCTTATCTCGTTCATAAGTGTATTGGACGGCGAACTGTATAGGCAACGTGCCCAATATATATCGAGAAAATGTCTGTCCACTGCAACGTATACTCGTATAATAAACTTATTCCAAAAAACAATTGTACTTGAGACCTGTAAAATAAAAAAAACATAAACTGATGTAAAATTCATGGTACAATAACAAAAACAAAAATTGCTTCTTTTTACACAATTATTGTTTCTTATATTGATATTGCCATATTGCGCGTTTTATTGAATAGCAATGATGATACGGGTCAGGTTTTTGTTTTATTTTAAATGTAATGAATTATAATTATCCAAGTATCCATGGTTTATCTAAGAGACAGTTATTAACAGTTTAATACCTAACTTAATCTCCGTATAAAATTTAAATTACTCAAACTTATAATGATTATTAGTCAATGAACTACATTGGCAAGTTAATTGCAATAATCATTATAATCAATGGCATTATTTTATTATTTACTTCCTGGATAATTTAAGCCTATCTCAAAAATATAATTTATGATTTAAAAGTTTCTTTTAACTTCAAACTTTCTATTAAATATCTATTTTATTGATAAATTGGTAACGTGGAAAAAATAATCTTTTACATGGAATTCAGTTAATGAAGGACACGTATTCGGATTTTAAGGGCGAATCAGCCTTAAAAGTTTTGTATTATTCTCTAGTTCAATCTAAATATGAAAATGCTTCTTGAGTTTTACATCAATTTTTACTTTATAATCAAAACAATTGTTTAAGATTTGTTTACTATGGATGAAAAGACATTTTAGTTCAAAATATGGCTAATTAAACAGTTTTTAAAGAGTTTTTTTTTAATTAAATATTTTCATTTTCAAAATTCATTTTTTATTTTTATTACTCCATAATTCAATAATTGTATATTGATTGTCCCACATACGAATAAATAGTCTAAGGTCAATATTTTATTTTTTAACTAATGTGTATAACGTTTTGATCATTATTATTTATTTTATAACATCGAAATATAAATATGTGTACCTAGTTAATATGTTACACATGTATAAGGAATTAACTAATTAAGTAGGTATACAGAAGTTAAATTTTCGAATACATTTTTCTTAGTTAAAATAACGGAGTATTCAAAAGTTATTATTTTAAACAATAAACGTCAATTTAACAGACTTGCTATAGTGGCCTCCATAATAATAATTGATTATTTATTACAATAATTTATATCACATAAATAGTAAAGAATTTATATAAAATAGTGGTTGATTAACGTTTTTAAATACAAATATTGATACTTGTAAAAATGACAGTTTTTCTCAAAGTGCTTTTCTATCAATCGTCAAATTAAAAAAGTAATACAGATTCGACTTTTGTTTCTCATGCTTTAAATTAAAATTATTTTGAATTTCCAAGGTATAATGTTACCAATGGCTGAAGTGTAACTTCAACATCTGTGATATTAATTTTATGTGTGATTTATAAAAGATATATTATAAATATTAGAATCAACAGATTCCAAATCCTAATTACAAATGTATATTCAGAAAAAATAATAGTAGAAGTGTAATAGTTTAATGCATTTTTTAGCTATAGCTTACTCAGAAATCTAAAAGGAAGAGTAACGATGTAACAAACTCAGGCGGTGTGTGAAATCGACTTTTAAAACAATAGGTAAAAAAAGTGGAATTTATTAAGTTTATAAAGTAGGTACTCAATTGAAAATATTTTAAATTTTAATACTATCATTTTTACAATAGTAAATTAGCGACATACCTAATAAGTTTTAATTTTAATTTAAAATTTAGAAATTCTTTAGTAAAAACTCCAATATTTTTACTATTGACTAATGTAATTATGTTGAATGAAAACATTGAAAACATTTTTAAACAATATTTTAACATGAAGTACGTTTTTAGAGTTTCTGAGCCACAAAATATGAATTAAAATAGTTTTTTGTGTTCATAAATTGATCGGTTTAATAAAAAAACAAAATATAAATTAGACTGACTATTTTAGTCTACGTTAAAATTAAATCATCAATAAAACCCAAAATATTATAAATAATTACAACAATTAAATAATTTTTTATCAAAACTTTTAACTGAAATAAAACAATAGTTTTCAAAGTTTAAAAGTTAACTTTTTAACGACACGACAATTAAATTTTCTGGATTTAAAATATGCAAATTAAGTAGGTAAAAATCAATTATTGTTTATAGTATCAGCTTTAATTTTTGTAAATTTGGTTCTGATTCTAAATTTAATTTAATTAGTACAACGCTATTTTTTTATAAAAAACAGCAAAAAAGGGCATTTGCCTCCAGAGAGAATTGAACTCTCGACCCCTGGTTTACAAGACCAGTGCTCTAACCACTGAGCTATGGAGGCTCATTACCGACGTTTGACAAACAGTTATAATTAAGGCAATAGTAGTTTTTATAAAACACACTATTAAATTAAATTTATTATAATTCCTATTAATATTAATTAATAATTATCCGCCCACAGTCACAGATCATAGTAACACGTCTTTGAAATGGATAAACGGCACACATATTAAAATATTATCTAAAAGCTGCTGATAGATAATTTATAGATCTAAGACATAAAAATTAAAAATATCTTTTTAATAGGTTTCTAATATAACTTTATCAATTAAAGAATATCTACCTATATAACACAGAATTAGAAGTTTAAACTTTAAATTCCACTTTAAAACCATAAAATAAATATTATATTATATATTATATTATTAAATGTTGAAACTTATAGAATAATAAATTAAATGTTCTAAGTCAAATCAAGATTGTGATGAACAGTTTTTGAAGTATTCTTCTAAATACCAAAATACCTAATCAAGTAATAATTAATAATAGGTATACCGTCTCGATCGTCTCAATATAGGTATTTAGCCTACCTATTTGGCCACACAAGATTTTAATTTATCAAACTAGGTAGGTAGGTTAGTATTATTGTAGGTATTGATTCTACTAACATTGTAACTTTTGAGAATTGGTCTTAGTTGTTCTGTCTATTTTAACTCTTTGATGTCAAAATAATTTAAGTTAATTAATAGTTATTAATTACTTTTTCCTACTTATTGTACATTAATACGACCACATATCATTTTAATTTACAAATACCATTATCTAACTTAATAATAGAATAATATAGGCAAATATCTAGGTATAAATATAGGTAATAAATCCAACAAATATACAAAGTAATGAGAGTAATTAAAATATTTAAACATGACTACTAGGTATTGTAAACATAGATTAAATTTATACAAAACATTTAAAAAACATCCATATTCTACGTCAAGGGCTTATAAAAAATTTTATTTGAGAACTATGTAAAAAAATAAGAAGCTCTTAATTTGTTGAAATAAAATAAACAGACTTATACAACATGCAACACAAAGTGGTGTAGAAAAGTATAAGAGTGCATGTGATAATTATTTAGGATACTATACATATATTTTAATTATTCATTGTCTTTTAGAGGGATGGATAAGATTTGTTTGCAGACCGCAGTTTGGAAACTCTTATCCTATATTATGTAACAATTATAAATAGAGAGATTTTAATTAACTATCTAATTTATTTATTAACTTACAAGTCAAGAATTAGGTAACAGTGTTGTAAGCAATCTACCATAATTTTTGTGATCTATCTGTAAAGCACACTGGTATATTAAGCTACCTACCTGTAAAGTAAACTGATTTTTTAAACAATTTACCATAGTGTTTTGTCTTTTACTTAATTTGAACCCACAAGGTAATAAATGTGATTAGATATTAAGTACCTATCGATGATGTTTCGCTTTTACTTAAAAGAAGGTTGCAAGAGAAATAGTGAAGTTCTATTCATGTATAAATGTATATCCATTAAAGGATTTAATTTTAAATGACATTAAAGCAACTCTTTTTTAATTATTTAAAATAATAATTTTTTTGTTTAACAGCTTTTTTTTTATACATTTTTATATAACAGCTTTTTTGTGAATTAATAATTAATAAAATTTATTTTAAAAATTTAAATAAGCTGTATGTATATTTTGATAGATCACTTATGATATCAGTGCAATATACTGTATACATGTAGATTACTTACAAAACCAAAGAACTACATGTAAATTGCATATCGCACATAACAATCCTAATTATTTACAGAATAAGTTTTAATGCTTATTAATAAAGTTTTTTAAGTTCTTAAAAATATCATAATTATAAATGATACACATTTAATAAGAAATATATAATTATACCAAATAAACTTTAAAAAAAAAAAAAAAATGTAACTAAGTCTTATCAACAGTGATATTTATTGGTTTAAACTTTAAACTATGATACTTCTTAGGTACTTAAAAATTTATCTTGATATATTATAAAAGACAGGCAAGAAAATACTTAATATGTTCTTTAAATATTTTGTTATAAACTTATGAATATTATTTTTTGGTGGCACAAAGAAACTTGAGAGAACACTGAGCCAAATTTGTGTATTGTTCAAAAATAATACCACTGACTAAAAATATCTAAGTTTAACCATATTAAATTAAAACAATTAATTAAACACATTGTTTGCAATGTAACTACATAATTTAGTAATTAAAATTATCCAAAAAAAATTATCAATTTATAATTTCAAGTTGAGTTAAAAAGTAACACTAACAATAAATTTACATAGAAAATAATTATTTTTTTAATAGTTAATAGGGAGACAAAAAATTATTATTTATTGTTGGTTTTTAAATAAATCAAACAATTTAAAATTGTTGAGGAGTAAATTTGTGATCATCATTATAGTAAATTAAATTAAATTGAAATAATTACAAAACTAATTGAAAAAAATTCATTGTTTCAAATATTAAAATATCTATAAGTATATAGATGAAAAAATATTATAAATTGTAAGGTAAAATAAAATAATATTATTTTATAATAATTTTAAAAAACTAATAAAAGATAAATGTTTTTAAAATGCAATCAAAAGAACTTATCATAAAACTACAAATAACAATATTTTTAAATATCTTTAAAATTATAATCTTAATAGTTAACGAAATTAAAATAAGTTAGAATTTTAATTTATTACTAATTATTATACTTTTTGTACAACTATTGATACTTTAATATTAATACTTTTATTCACAACTTGTTAGAGTAAATATTGTTAAAGCCTAGTATAATATTTATTTTCTTTAATTATATAATGTTATATAAAATTCCAAATTAATTTAATTTAATTAAAAAACAATATTAAAAAGCTTTATTAATAGAAAAAAATCTTAAATTTTTTAACTTATAGTTGAGAAGTAATAGAAAATTTAATGATTAACATGTTTTAAAGTTATATATGTAATAATAATATCTATTAAAGAGTTTTTATACCATTGCAGCCCATGTTCTTTTATACATATTCTTATTAATTAATCCTTTCTGCTGGCAATTAAAAAAAAAAAATTATATGAATAAATAACAAACACTGAAGAAAAATTCTAATAACTTAAAAACACACGTTTTATTATAAAGAAAAACAAGAGAATAGTAAACTAAAATCACAACATGTACGTTTGTCGAACACACAAACACAACTGTAGCGTTACTATCGGTATTGTACGGCAACAGCGGACAACAGGAACCCTTTGGACTCCTTTGCATGAAGCACTGTGGTTGGCTAAAAAATAAAAGGCTATTTACCCTTTTTTTTCTTTACCACACACAGTAAGTCTGTACTCCCCAATGATATGCGATTCATTCTGATGGTGCGCACTCGCTAACATATGCCCTGCCGACACAGATATACCAACACTATGCATAAAAAAAAATATAAAAAACCATTTATACTATATGATAAATAGGAAGGGTTAACTTACCCTTTTTTAGTGTACAGAAGCCATTTTGATTTTTTGCACCCTTTTTAGTACCTAGAATGAATTAATGCAGCTGGTTAAAAGGGTTGCAACCCTTTTAACTATGAATCACTGCTTAACCCCATAGGTAGGTGTTGCCACAAATAAATACCTATTACAATAAATTACAGTATTAAAACATATATTATTATAATAACATTTTTTTTTGTCTTAGCTGATTATTGATGAACTTTTATTAGCATAAAAATTCTCATACATATGATAGTAAGGCATATAATTTAATCATTGTAATAAATTATTCACATGATTTCAACTTAACATCTTCATTTTTAAAAGGTAGGTACTTTAATAGATCCATTTTGAAAAATATTACTAATAAAAGAAGATAACTAATCTAATTATTTTTATTATCATAGCAGGTATTAGTATAGATTAAATAAAGTAATATATTTAATCTATATTAGAAGATAATAACAATGCAATTTTTTTTTTTAAATAAAACCATAATTTTAAAAAAATTACACTATGAAAAATGATTACTATTCCTTATAATCAATTAAACATAATGTATGTTAGATGAATTTAAAAGAATCATGAGTAGCCTATAAAAAAATTTTAATTAAAATAAAATGTACAAAAAACATTGTATTATTTCCAAAATAGGTACATCGTACATAAATTGTATCATATTTACTCTTATCTAAGTAGATACTTTAATCTAAAGTTCTTAAATTTTGATCAAATAAGAAAACTAGTCAGAATATGATTAAATATTAGTTAGTTATAAAAATAAAATAATATGGTAAGCTTATAATCCATAATTTAATTGGGTGTCTTACAAGTTGCAATCTTACACAAAATCAAATTTTCACTTAATTTACGACCGACTAAAAAAAAGGTTGAGTGTCCCTAAATTAAAATATTTAACATAATATGCCTGTAAAAATAACAATATTCATATCAGGTACTTAAATTAAATGTTCTTATCAAGTAATTATTAATTACCTATGTAAAGTCTTACCAATTTGCAGTTACAGAAAAAGGCTTGGTTGGTTTTATTAATTGTAAGTATAAGTACTAAAACTTACAAACTACAGCTATAAATTACATTAAATATTGTAATAACTTTTTAATTCACTCAAATTTGTAATTGAAAATGTTAATTAGATCCATAATAATATTAAATTATTATCAGATTGTTCATACACTGTATAGTGTATAAACATAAACATAAACCATACTAACCATAGATAACTAATAAAAGTGTAAAATTAGAATAGTAGAAATGTAGCCATGTATCTACAGGTATTACATTTATTTTTTCATCAGGACAAATTATTTCGTCACATGTTATCACAATATTATCACTTACTCGCTCCAAATATGTAAAATTATAAATAATTTTAATAGCTCTACTTAAAGAATGTTATTTTTACATACAACATATTTCTAAAAAATATTAATTATACAAATTTAAATTAATGTATTATTTATTTTGAATTAATCATATTAAATCATAAGTCTTAAATTATTTTTTTAAATTACAGCCAATGATCATGATGTATATACCAGAATACCAGATAGATAGGTACGAACCTATCTGATCCAAATTAAAATGATTGGTAATAAACTTAAAACTTAGTAGTTTGGTAAATCTGAATGTCTATTATTAATGCTGATGTAGACATTAAGTATGTACCTACTGATCACTCACTAATAAGTTTTGATAATTTATCATGGTAATTTTCAATTCAATATTCAATTATTTAAGAAAGAATATACCTATTATTATAATATTCTAAACAATTTGTTTGTAGCAAGCAGTGGACAGTCAGTATAGTATAAATATTACATACCATAAATTCCCCTCATATATGATTAATAAAAAAAAAAGATTTGAAACTTTATTGTAAACAGTTACCTAATTTACTTAGCACGATAACTCAAAAAAAAAAAAAATGTAGGTATCTGGTATACTGTATATATTGTGTTGGGCTTTCTTAAACTGGTGACATGGGAAGTCAGTCTTTACAAAAATTAGTACCTATTAAAAGTATTTAATGCATGGGACAATGTAAGTCATACAACTTAGAATAATTAGATATTAGTAATCAGCTTAAAATGTTGAAAGGATATTTATAAATTATAGATAATACTAGAAAACAGTGAAAAAGAATTTCTAAATTATATTGTTTATAAATTTAATAATACTATTTAAAATATTTCAGTTTCTAACAATAACTAAGCAAAGCACTGCATTAATAATATTTATAGTTGGTATCTTTATAACATTTATCATTATTATTATTTATATTTAATTACTATTGTATACAAAAAAAAAAATAAATATTTGGAGATTATTCTTCTTTGTTAAATTGTTAAATATTGCTGTTTTAGGGTACTTTATATTTGAACATAAAATTAAAACAGCCCACAATTTTAAAGGTTTATTATTTCTAAACAGATACGCAGCTGGTGTCCATATGTTAATGTATATGCTAAATCCCTGATATTTGATACCTAATTGATTTTGTTTCTTTAAAACTATATAGGACTCAAGCTTAAAAAGATACAACACAAGATACTTAATTTTTTAAACACAGCTAAACACTTTTTATCCCCAGAAATGTTTATGACATTTTTTATCGGGACAGACTTCGGAGCTCTAATTATAAATTAAATTCAATGAACGTCAGTTTTATAATAATATATAGAATACCTATAACCTAAATAGTAATTTGTCCCACAGGCCATAGACATCATATTATATAAATACTTATTTTAGTAGATACTTAGTATGATAGTATACACACAAAAATGCAGTAATCATAACCTATTTTGCATATTTGTATTGATTAGCATTAAAATTATTACATTTTTATGACGAAAATACATTAATTATTAAATATTATGACACGAGGTTAGGTTTATATACATATTTATTATTTTTAAATTATTTAAATTATTTTTTTTTTTTACTTTATGAACTGATATCATCAGCGTAGAGTAATTTTAACTTTTATTTTCGATGACGAATTAATTTTTATTTGTTATTGCGTTGATGAATAAAAATATCGAAAAATTGTATACATAGGTAAATTCAGCACCAAATCTAAGAAGGGGGCAATCCAGGGTACGTGCCCCGGGCGCAAGTCATAAAGGGGTGCAAATTTCTAAGTATAGTACCTAAGTAAAAAAAAAAGATTATTGATATAAAAGCGCACCAATTTTACATTTTATTTCGGGTTAAAAAAATGTTTAATCTAGCACTGGGTAAAGTATTATTTAAAATTATTATCTTTGAACATAAGTGTAAAATAATATTTTACTTTAAATAATAAAAACAAAACAAAAAAGTAACTAATCCATGCATATTTAAACAGTTTTTGATGTATTCAATTCTCAAAACATTTTTATTGTTAAAAATTATAGACAATCTAGGACTTTAAAATGCTATTTATAACAAAAAAAAATTGTAAAAAATTTAAGTAAAATTGATAAATGAAAAAACAAAAATAAAATATAAATAATAAACATATAGAATGTTAAGTAAAAAAATTAATACAAATAACATTAAAATCATCATCCTAATGAAAATTTTAGTTTTATTAATTATACCTAGGTATATAATATGAACAAATAACAATTCAAAGTTAAATAACTTCTGTGAACAATATTAAATATTTTCTAAAATATATTATTGTTATTTTTTTTTTATTAAATGTTAAATAAATATATTTTTGTAACTTAACTAATTCTAATCTTTATGTTCAATTGTATTGGTGTTTAATATGTTGTTTTTATTTAACATTAAACATAAAACAAGAATTAAAATAACATTTAAAAATGTAATAACGTTAAATGAAAAAAATCAAATTTTTGAAAATACAATAACATTAAGTATTTAAAATATTGTACAAGCAATATGACATTTAAATAACCAAAAAAAATATATTTATTTTTATAATTTAAGTCCTGCACGCAGTATTATTATATTTTCACAAATAATTTTAACAGTTTAAAATTGGTGAATTTGTACTAAAATCCAACTATAACTATGCGAATATGTTAGTTACCAAATATATATACATTTTATAATATTTAGCTAAATGTTATTAATTTAACACTTCAAATTAATATTTTGGTATTACACGCAATAGGCCCTTATTTAAATTCTAACCATATTTTTTAGTTAGTTAATTATACGTTGTACATTACATCGCTAAAATTACATGATAATATTATACAAGTTTAACCCCCCCCCCCCCCCCAAAAAAAAAAAAAAATATTTAGCTAATTACAATTTAGAAAATATACTGCTGAAAAATTTAATCTGCAAAAAAATATTAGTTCACCTTGAAAATTTGAAAATACGTATTTAAATTTAGTTCTGATTTTTAACATGCACGTGTAAACTTTTCTTTGATAATCGAGAAGTATTGTGTACCAATTCGATTGGTTATTGAAAAATAATTAGCACGTAATAAAAAAAAATTAAAAATTCAAGGAAAAGGTATAGTGTTCAAATTGTGAGTTCATTATTTAAATTCCTAGAAACGATTTTAAATCTGGATCTAATTAATCTATATTTTACAGCCACGACTCAAATATTATTATTATATCATCCAATTATACTTATACATTTAGGTATATTGTAAGTTATTTTATATTCGATAATTTAAATGTACTAACAATTAACATATACAATTCAAAATAATACACACATAAATAGTTAATAAAATGTACTCCATGTCATCGTTTTTGAGTTCCCCTCAAAATTGGTATTTATCACTATTTGATTTTAAAGCCAATTCAATAAACCAGTTTCGGGAAAAAAAAAACTTTATTATTTTTATATTTTTAAAATAATTTAATACTACGTAGGTAGTCACTAGGAAACTATTTTCATAGAAATAATCAATATTTTTAATTTTGGCTGATTTTGTTCGAATATGCGTGTTTATAAGATGTTGTGTAAGGAATAGCGAATAAGAAGTGAGTAAAGGAACATAATATTAAAATACCTAGGAGTTAGGACCTGGTTATTTATTATGATTTTTTAAATTCAAAACAATTATTTTTATTTATTTTCTACACTCAAAAGACAAATTTGAAATTAGTCACAGAAAAAATAATATTTTAATTTTCCAAATAATATCCGACTAGAGTACCTACTTAACACAACTATTGACTACCTATACATTTATTAATCTAAATCATGGACAAATGGACGTATATAATAAGGTACATTCGTGTTTTGGATATTACCAGATTACCAACTGGCAACTAGAGTTGAGTACCTATTACCTAGGTATAACAGTGCATAGGCATATTATATAGTATACAGGTAGGTATTGTACTCGTAAGTTAATAATTAATTAATATTAAAGAGAAGGTAACTTTAAACATTCAAAGTATTGGTGTTTTACTCACGATTATCTAGATAACCGTGGCATTACTCTACGGTCAATCTTTCCACGAGGGAAAAGATATTATCAATAGTCTGCACTACAGTCGTCACTCGTCATCGAGTACTTTAGCCTTAGGTAGACGATAATTTGATAAAATATAATATTATAGAATACAGAAATCTATACATGGGCCTATTATAAATAAAAAACTTATTTTTATAAGTCATGAATCGTATTAATCGGAGATTATTCTATAAGCAGTCATTACGATATCTCAAAAATGACTATAATTTATTATATTGTATCAAATAATAAAATTTAATTTAACGCATTACAGTATTTCCTAAATATAAATTACATTAAAATTAATAAAATTTTATTACTTTTATAATTGTGATTATAGGTACTTATTAAAGACTTATTTAGTTATTTTTTATCAGCGTTATCATGATACGTCATAAATCATAATATATTATAATTATTAATTACGAACATTACGTTATCAAATGTACAGTTCAGTGGAAAATAAAATGTTCTCTTGATAATTTTTTCAGTCATTAAATATTTTATACTTACTAGAAATTAATTAAGATAACTATTTTTAATAGCCCTATATATTTAGGTTAGGTATCTGCACAATTAACCCACCGTCCTCAATTGATTTCCCTTTCACGAAATCAATTAAAATCATAAAAACTATGAGCTTATTTCAAATGTAAATTGTTAATCAATATTAAATTATTAAATTATGTATAATTAATAGCAATTTAAAAATATTGTGATAGAACATATTTATTATAATATACATTTAAACGCAATTTAATGTAATATATCTAATATAACCAATTATATTTAAGTATTGTATTTTATTAAAATCGAATTTTTTTAATTGAATACATATTTTACACTTTCAAGTGTTTGTAGATATTATATTATATTTAAATGTTATCACTTATTCGTGTTTTTACAAATTAAAACATGACATTTCGTTTTTTGTTTTATAGTGTTGCTGAAATTACCTAGTAAAGTTAGTAGTACCTACCTATTCCTAAAATTATTTATAAGCAATATAAGTTATAGGTAGTTACTAAAATAGTACAGATAATGATGTATAGTATTATACTATCGATTATCGAATGCCTACTAAATAATAATTAGATATTTGATATACCTAATAATAACTAAATTATATACCTACTACATACCTTAAATTTGAATTCTGACAATTTAATTTTTTTTCTAGTTTATGATTTAAACTATCTTTAATCTTAAAAATTCAGAAATAATCACCATCAATATGTATTATGTCATTTTAGTCATAGTGGAAATCGGTAATTAATAATTAATAATTACCTATTTTTTATTTCTTTTGCCAAGATAACCTGTTGTATATTAAAATAATACGCTTTGAAAAAATGGTTAAGTTAATCATGCAATTTGTGTTTCGTTATCAGATAAAGCTGTGAGCCTTTAAACCAGCCTATTTATATAATGTATTGTCGGTCGTCATATGATATTAAATTCCAAGGTCGAAAATAGTTGTTTCGTTAACATAAAAATGTCAGTTCTGTTTGTAGTCAATATGAAGGTAAAACATAAATAACATTCAAGGGCATAAATCTTTTACAACTAAAGTAGGTAATGATTCAAATATAGTGATCAATAAAATAATACATAACTAAAAAAGTGTAATGTGAGAATGTACCAATTCAAGAGTACCGTGTAACTATTCATAATATTTATCAATACTATAATATTTATGGTTATGGACAAAAGCTCAAATCCAATATTTTATGAATTTGTCTGATTTAATTAAATGTCTCAACATACTTAAATAATTAAATAAAAACTAATCAATATTAATTATTAAATTACTACCCCTATATAATAAGGTACTATTGTTTTTAAAATAATTCAATTCATAATGTATATTATGTTCATTGTATCTATTCTGGATAAGGATACCTGTAAAAATTGAGTATGCCAGATTTCATGTCAAATGTAGAAGATAGTTTCTTTGGTTATTTTATTCTTGACTACCTCAATGTACTTCTTAAATTCATGAAGTCAGTATAATATTAGTTCTTTTTATTTTTCATCACATGTGGTATTTAGGTACCTAAAAAAAGCATAATTGTGTCGAATAAGTCTGATAAAAGTTTCAATATTTAGAGTATTATACATACCAATTTAATATTATTAATGTCCACCTATATTACAATACCTATCAATATATCTGAAAAATAAACTGATAATTAAATGAAATATTTGACTATTAACACATAATCCATTCTTTAGATCCTAGTAATTGTGTTGGTCGAAAACATTCAATAGGCCACAGAATAAACAGTTATAATATACAGTCCAGTAAGAATTCTATTCAAAGAAAAATAAATGTTATTATATCTAAACAAAATGATAATAAAAAAGTACAAGAGTTCAATGCTCTTATCTAATATTATGTTTGCACAATAATTAACTTTCACAAAAACCATTAGGTCTAAACTCTAAAGTTTGCCAATATGGTAATATAATTAAACAACTTAATCAGTCCAACTTGTAAAAATATAAGATTTATGATATTAATTTATTGTAAGGATGATTGTGTAAATTATAATTTAAAAAAAATACAGCTATACATGTAAAATATTCTATAAATATTTGTTTATTGGTTGGTTATAATAAAAAAAATATTTGACAATATATTATACAATACAATATTTCTTTTACAATTGTTTTACTTGGTAGCCACGGGAACGTAAATCGGTATAAAAAGCTATACGTTTATTATTGCTTATAAAAATTTTTATAAAATAATTAATAAACATAAATAAAGATACCACACAGCCAATTAAATATTAAACAATTTACAAAACACTTAATTGTTAGGTACATACTATGTTTTTTTTTTTTTTTTGTTCAGGTCATGGAGTTTTGAATAAATATCTAACTAGGTACTACTTCTAAAAAGAACAGTGGAAAGTGCAAATCATAACAAGTATAAAGCAAAAACATTAAAAATAAAGAAAATATAATTTTCTTTTTTAATTATATTTGTATATAATAATAGAAAAATATAAACATGAATCAAGGATGTTTAAAAAAAAAAAAAACTGATGATAGTTAATTAAATCATACATTTGACTATTAGCAATAGCTGATAATCAAATTATAATGTACAGATAATATTCAATAGAATCACTAAGTTTGTATAACAATTTTAAAGTTATGAGGATAATTAATTTTTAATCTTTATTAGGAAGTAGTAATAATATCTGAGACTTGTATACAACAATGATTATGTTAAACAAATCTATAGGTAGTTCCCAAGCAGTGGATGAAAATCTTATCAGAAATTAAATATAATATAAGATAATGAAATAGTTGTTGTTTGATGTATTCCATTAAAAATAAATAAAAAATAAAAATAAAATAATTTATATACCTAATATATTTCTCCCAAAATTATAAACATTTATTTTATTGGGTGTAATTGAGATTAGGTTATTTAAATGTAATATATTAAATGCCATAACACATAGTTTATAGTTGTTCTTAATATTCTGAATTTTGAATTTTTTTTTTCTTCCATTTTTGAAGCCACATTAATTATATTTTTTGCAATTCATGTTCAGTATCCATGGGCAACCAAATGATCACCAAGCCTTTCAACAACAGAGGCAGCTTGTTGAGGTTGAATGGGATCTTCGTATAATGAAACAACTACAGCCTGTTGGGTTTTCACACAATGTACACCTACTTTACCCAGCTTTGCTCTAATGACTTTATCAGTACCAGATAAATAAATAAACCTACTGCCAGCTAGTGTTACACCTGAAGCAGCCAATACACTTTGGTTTTCAAAACCAGCAAATAGTCTGCTAAGTTCTTCCTTGGTAACATTAAATCCGTCTGAATTTGCCCAAATAGTACCATCATGACCAGAGATAGCGGCCTTAGTAACACATCGAGAAGCTAAAAGTTGTTTGTCAACATAATCTTGCCAAGAAGACATATTTGATGTTGTGTTTAACGTGCGTAAATATTAAGTCTTGAAGAAAGGTAGGTATAACCTAGTACATTAAATTAAGTTGATGATTTGATATAATTTTCTTTACAAGAGATTTCCCAAAACTGCTTGTAATATCTGTAAAAATAAAATTCATATAAAATATTGGTATCTCATTTATAATATAAACTTATACACAAAAGTTACAATTAAATTGGGGCTTTAATTTGCAATTAAAAAATAAAAATACTACTAAATGTAGTAATAAATACTTAATATATCATTACATTTAAGCGATACTAATAAATTAATATTTAACTAAGCTCTAGTTGGGTTATAATATTGAATTGCTCTCATTATACTACCTCATATTTGAGTTACTTATCACAGAAAACCATATTTTATGTGCATTATGTACTTATAAAGAATAAACTGAATTAAATCATTTTTAAAACTTAGATTTTATTATTTATTAGGCGATAAGAGATAATGATAAAATAAAAACAGAAGTTTATTTATATACTAAAAATATTGTTTTACAAACTTTAATTATTTTTAGCAAGAAATGACTATTTAAAAACAGAATCAACAATTGTTATTCTTAATATAATTTTTTTTTTATTACATAAGATATTAGCCCCTAATTTAGCAATAGGAGAGATCACATCTAAATGTATTTTTTTTTAGTTCATATAATGACTGCTTTAATAGTTAACTCAAAAATAACTCTTGATTTGTGATACAAAACTACTTCGATTAAGTGACAGGGTAAAAATCATATAAATTCATTGGAATTGAATAAATGTACTGACAAATGTGGGTGGTAGATAATGGAAAATATTCAAATATTGATACTTAATCATATTCTAATTCCTAAACATTTATAAACTTCCTGTATAATAAATTATCTACAATTCAATACTAGTAAATATTAAATTATTATAAATTATAAAAGTACTTTAATCAACAGATAACACAATTAGTTTAAATTCATAAACATCTCATACCTACATGAAATAAAAATAATATAACAACATATGTTGTATCACTGAAACTAAATTTAAATAATCAAAATTCTATAATTAGGATAAGTTAAGTTTGATTTAAAAGAGATAAATGGGATAACACAAATAGAAGAAACAAATAACTAAGAAATTTGGAAAGAATTAGCGAAAGCAGCAAACTCCCTTTATGATTGTAATCTCTATTTTAGAACAATCAACTGGAGAAAATCTGTCTCTATTTATTTTAAAATTCTTTACAATAAACAAGTAGATTTAAATATTCAAGAGTTTTAAAAAACTTATCAACAAAAAAATAATTTAATTTAATGTATTATTCAATAATATTTTTACTTTAACAAGAAAAAATATAACTCCTTGTAACTCTATTAAATTAAACAATTTTTATGATATATAAATTGTTTAAAAAACAATAGTTTTATTGCATAATATATTTTTAAATTGTTTAAGTCTTTAGAATTCATTAATTTTAGAAGATAGATATAAATTTGAAATTAATGGCTTAGGTTAGTTTACCTATAAAACCTGTAACTTATTTTTTTATAAATTACCTATTAGTTTTTTTTAACGGAGGTATACCAAAGATAATATAATGTATAAGAAGCAATAAGTTTTCTGATACATTTTAGAAATACTTGTAAAATGAGTATAAATTCCTAATGAGTTTTCTTTGAACATAAAGTAATGAATAATTATTCATTATTACATAATTTAATCACTATTACTATTATCTGGTCAATGTATAATCATTTTTAAACTGACTGAGAAAAAGTTATTACATACCAAAATTGTTTTCATTAAAAATATATATTATTGTTATATTATATAAATATAATAAAAAAAAGATTGAACATTCGGTATTTCTTTAAAATAATATATTAAATTATTAGAACATCTATTCAAATTTATAATTATAGTAAGCATAGAAATTTACTGAATAGCAAAATTGTTTAATTAGATGCCACTAAAATAGTTATCTATATACTGAGAGATTAATTTATTAAATAATAATTGTTATTTTAAAATCTAATAATAATTTTAAAATAATGAATATTTTTTTATAATCTGTATATAAAGGACTTAAATGAATCAAATTTATAGGTACCTGAAGTTTTTGAGCATTAATAGCAAATGAAAAATTTGATCAGAATGACCACCAATTGAAATTGATTTAAAAAAATGTATTTTAAATAATAGTAAAAAACCTTTTATACTACAAAATATATTAAATTAGAAGTAGTTATTTTATATCTTTACAGTTGAGTTTTAAGAATGAATCAAGTAACTAATAATTATTAAATTTTTAGGAAAAAAAATATGCCTAGAAATTTACTAATATGCATTAAAATCACAACTTAAGAAAAATACATGTTAATTTGTTTAATTTTTGTCATAACAAATTTCATTAACATTATTTTTATAAATACAATTTATTTATTAGACAAAATTACATTTAAATCAGTTTAAATATTTAAATAATACTAACAAGATATTTATATATTTTAATGAAATTTATAGATTAAACAAAAATGCTTCGTAATCTAAAATTATGAATGAATTATCCATTAATTAATGTAGTATAATATTGATTTTAAAATTTTAATTTAGTATTTAGTAATTTAGGTACCTTAGTAGGTAACCTTAAAATAATTACTTAATTGATATCCAAAAATGTATTCAATAATAACACTACAATAATTTAACATACATTTTAGTTCATAAATTATAGTAAAAAAACATTGAAAAACAATAAATATAATGTTTATTATATAGATAATGTCTCATAGTCATTCAACTAATCACTACAAAAGGCACAAGGAATTTAGCATGACCAGATGTTTACAGCGTGACTTGGGGGGAAAATGACATCATAGATGAGGTCATTGAGTTGGAAAAAACACTATATAGATAAATAATTTGTATCAAAGTATTACGTATTTTAGGCAAATCAGTGAAAACAAAAATATAGGCGATGTTAAAGAAATATTTATTTATTATTTTTAATGTGCAATATTTTTAATAAAATGTTATATATTAAATGAAACACTAATTAGAAGTCACTACATTATGTAATGCAATCATAATTAAACTAAAAAATAATTTTATGAAAAAAATACATACCAGTAGGATATGACAAAAGCAAGTTGAAAGTAGGTAGTCTTAAACAGAACACTTTTTTTTGGTCCTGAAATATAAATGCAATTTTTTTAATAAAATGTTCATGAAAACAACAATAAATTAATACAATTTTTGGAAAAATATTATTAATTGATATTAAGTATAGTAGATATAAACAACAATAATCAATACCCAATAAATGAAGCAAATAATTAACTGATACAACCAAAAACTCAACTAGGTATGACAAAAATCTGTGAGGAATTTAATAGTAAAAAAGATATTTTCAATTAGGTATCTTAAAATTAATAACTATTAATAGATATGTTTAATAATTAATATAAACTATAAATAGGCATTCAAGACAAATTTGAATACTTAATTAAAAATCTTGGAATATTATTTAAACCTTGGAG